CACTGGGAAGAGGTAACTATGGGGAGGAAGTGGGAGGGGAGCTGTTGCATTGTGGTAAACTGTGGTCAAGGACATGAGACAAAGTATATGTGAACTGCTTCATGGAAAGTGAATTTGTTCTGTAAATCTTCACCCAAATCACAATTAAAAAAAAGAAAAAAAGATTTATAGCCTTGGAAAGCCAATGAAGGCTGCAATGAATCAGAATCTACTTGATGACAGTGAGTGTGGGTTTTGGTTTCTTATGGCTTACGAAGTGCATATTATCTGTCAAACATGGGACATCAATATTTCATCAATAGTATTAATACATATAAGTATATTGGTATATATAGGTATCATCTTCATTTTATAGAAGAGGAAAATGAGGCTCAGAAGTTTATATATTATCCTCAATAACACAAAACTAATAATTTTCTCAACCTCAATTCCACATCTTTAAAATAGAGAACATAGGATGATCTTAAAATATGGAGTCTATTATAATAACAATTATTTTATTTATAATGTTTTGAAAATTGTCAAAGGGGAGTTGCAGCCAATGAGAAATAAATATCTCCATTATAAAAAATAGTTGTCTATTGTGAATTGCCTCTGTATAATGCTAATTTTGGATTCATTTTGCTCAAATTAAACCAAGCTGATGCTCACAAAAAAAAAAAAGTATCATATTTTAACCTAAGAAGTTTCATGAGAAATTTTATCTGTACCTGAAATTCTAATCAAAGGCAAACATTAATAAAATTCGAAGTTAAAAAAAGTTATGTTGTGACATGAGACACAAGAAAATTGAACTTTGTTATCTAACGCAAAGCACAATGCACCGCCGTCAAGTCGGACCCAACTCATAGCGACCCCTCCTTGGGTTTCCAAGGCGGTGTCACTACAGAAGTAGATTGTCCAACCTTCCATCCGAGGAGTGGCAGGTGGGTTTGAACCACCAGCCTTCTGGTTAACAGGCAAATGCCTTAAGCACTACACTAAGAAATCCCTTTATTTGGAATGTTAAGTACCCTTTGTTTCTCCACAGTACTTAAGAAGTAAACAGTGCCTGTTCCTACAATCATTAGTTTCTGAAACTCTTTATTCTCTACCTGTATGAAGATTTAGGGAAAGAATACTTTTCCTTTTTTATTTTATTTTTTTAGCTTAGCTAACAGCAAAGACAAATTTAAGGAAACATGTCTATGAGGTCTTTTTCTGACACAGCTGATATGGTAAAGAGGTTGGTTAAATATGCAGCTGGAAAATGACTCTGTTCAAAAACAACCAACGTAACTGCAATTGGGATCTACAGCTCCAATCAGTTTGCTTGGAAGATGAGTTGCCCTGGATTAAGTTACTAAAGGGATCAAAATCCAATTTCTTATTCCTTTGGTTAATAAACATACTCAACACTGTTCCCCAAACAATAAGCAATTACCTAATATTGTATTCTAACAAGTAAAAAGCTGTGAACAAACAAAACTAGCTTGGAACACTTTTCTTCTGAAATCCAATGCTGCATCCTATTGTGATATATCCTATTTTATATTCAAGGCAGGCCATAAGTGTGTGTGTGTGTTTGTGTGTGTATCACAGCTAGTCAGTGGTCCACTAATTGAAAGCCACATTTGACATAATTCTCATTTTATAAAAACAAACAAAAACTCTACATTGTTTTGAGGTTAGAAACAGTCTCTACTTAATGAGCTCATTAGTAACACAAGTAATGGCAGTGGAAAAGTTGTAGACATGAAAAAATTGGTGCAGGGGGTTACATGCTTTACCATTTTTTATTATCAAGGGGAAAATATTTTATTTAAAATCATACGACAATAACAACAACACAAAAGTATGATGTCAAGTTTAGAAAACTGTATCATCTCCAAAAATCAATGGCTAATTTATAATAAAATGACGTAATTAAGAAAAGCAAGACTTCAAGCCACAATATCAGTATGTTTCATAACTGTGTTTCTCTGTGATCTTACCTTGTACATTGTAGAGTCGCACTCTATGTGTAACATGGTCAAAAAAGCAAGTCACTTCTGAGTAAATCCTTCCACGCGTCACTCTGACAAAAGGCAATGTTGTGTACCCGTAAAGCTGAAGAGAAAATGACATTTTTAAGAAAAATATTTGGCTTCTAAGCTTTTCCAAGAAATGTTTATAACAGTCTATAGAACGGCAAATGTGTATCATTGGATATTAGCAATTTTAAATGAAAACCAACCCTTACAATGTGTCAGAATATACACTTGCTATAAATATTGATTGTAGAGTTTTTCTTTATAAAAAAATGGTCAAAAGAAGTGAGTGATCAACATGGTGGCACTGGAGAAGAGGGAAAAAAATAAAATAAAATAATGATAGAGCCTGATACCCAAATAAAAAATGAGTGAGATTATTCACTTAGTATCAAAAAAAAGGTTACCCTCCCGAGAGGGACCAGGTCTCTGGGAGCAAGGTAAGCACGGGCGGGCTGGTGCTTACTC